TCCACTTTAGTCCATCCTTGATGTTGCCTTGCTTCTTTAAATATGTTAGGATCTTTAAGATTAATTATATAAGTTTAATTTTTTGATTGGATTGATGTTGATGCAATTTCTTTGTGAGTCACTATTATCTGCTCCTCTTGAGGCCATTAATGAGCATCTACTTCTAAAGTCATGATAGATAAGATAAGAGGCACAAATTTTTTTTTTGAGGTGAAATCTATTCTTGTATTTTGATCTATAAATTATGGTAATATTATCATTTTATTGCCTAAGATCATTTTATTACATATAATATATTTTTTGATGAAGATTTTTTTGGTCTATAGATTAAATAGTTTTTATGTCTTTATAACTAAATTATATCTCAAAAAAAATCTATAATATTGAACTAGGTTGAATTTTATTTTATTAATATTTTAGGATATATATATATATATATATATATATGAATTATTCAAAGATTTTGAACTACAGACAACTACAGAGTTGGATCTTATATACCTTTTTTTTTAGAGTCATAACATTGTTGTTCTTCAAAGGGTACTTGTTAATGATGTATGTTGTGGTGTTGATTGCTTTTAATTAGAGATATGTAGAAACATTATAAATAAAGCTCATGATTTTTATTTACTTGAAAAGGTATATAAACTTACGCTTTGCTATTTTGTTTTGATAAGATATTTATACCTAAGTCGTTTTATATATAATTCCATTAGTAGTAAAAAATGTCTCAAAATCTTCAACAAAGTACTCTTTATCTTTATCCAACTTGGAGTCTTGATGCTATTTTCTATTTTTTTTTTAACCATTGTTTTGAAGTTCTTGAAAGTTTAAAAGACTTGTAACTTTGACTTTAGGAAATAAATCGAAGTATTTTTTAGACTAATTATCAATAAATTTCATCCAAATGTGATGATGTTGCCTTAGTTTGTTATATTGCCTATAAACATCAATTTTTTTGTTATACCAAGAATGTACAAAATATTATTAATTTTTTTTACTTATTCATCACATTTAAAAAGTACATTGCCTTAGACTATAATTGATTGAGACGTTCTACTAACTTAATAAATATTAAAATATCTAATTATCTTTAATTCAAATATTTTTGATGAATTTTTTGTTATATGATTTGTGACACCATAATCTAAATAAAAAATTATATTTCTTTCATTGATGTCCATTGATATTATTGTTGTTCCAAAAATTTCAATTGTCTTCATCAATTCTTCTATTATTGATTCTTCTAGGACAACATTTATTTAGAATCAATGCTCTTGTTGTTGTCGTTGATGAAAAATAAAGTATTTCTAAGGCATAAAAGATTTGATGCTTTCTTTTACAAAATGATCCTAAATTCTATGGTTGTTATAATGATCCTTTTGTATACGTCTGTAGAATTATAGTGGCTTATTATTTTTGAGGTTTATTAGTTTATTTTTAGTCATATTTAATTTTAGAATGTTGTAATAAGTTTTTTATAGTATATTCTTAAGTATCCTCTAATTCTTTTTATTGAAAGAGCTTCATTTTGAATTTCACCATTTTTTTTTTTGCTTCTTCTAATAATAACTTAGAAGAGAGTTTTTTAAAATTGGACAACTTATTTTCACACAATATCACATGTATGAAGGCATCATAGCTCTTAGATAGAGCTCTAAGCATAATCTAAATCACTATTGTATCTAGTACTACATCTCTAATATTTAAGAGTTGGATGACTAACTCTTTTACTCACTTGATGAAGTCTTTTGTAATAGTACCTTCAACCATTTTGAAGTTTTCAAGTTTGTTGTTGAGATGGAGAGCCCTTATTCCATTTTTGGCTTTAAAAATATTATTGAAGATGTTCTATCATACTACAAGGTCTTTACTTCTTGAAATATGATGTAACATGTTGTTTTTTAGTGAAAGTATTATAATTGTCAATGTTATGTCTTTACTCTTTTGGTTAATCTTAGTTATAACAATTCCAAGTTCTACAATGATTCTAAATTCTTGTAGGCAGACATAGTGCTAGAACTTCTTGTCTTTCAAAATTGTTCTCATTTTTATTTTTTATATTTTATAATTAGATATACCTTCAAATTTGTTAAAATGAACTACAAAAAAAGATCCTTCAAAAGTCATTATGAAAAAAAATTCTATTCTTTTTGGCTAATTTGATTTTTTGTGTGCATAAGTATGGACTTAAGACTTAGAATAAGTCTCTTTTTATCATAGTGTAACCAAGAAGTTCACACAATGCATTCACTCAAGTGCAATCTTCACTCGGTGCAAGTTGGCGATTTCTATTAGCAACTCCAATCTTTAGCTATATCTTTAAGTAGCATCTTCACTTAATAATGCAAGTAGATAGCTTCGATTATTAATACAAATTTCAATAATTCTCCAATAGTTATTCATAAGACAAATATTAAATATTCTTCTTTAGTTGTGGAAGTTTGCAAACAAAATGTTGATATTATAGTTATCTTCAATAGAAGAACTTTCTATAAAATTACTTCTATGGTTTTATATTCAATAGCATCACTTTGATATCATGTTAGAATTTAATACTATATTAAAAATATAAAATATGATATATATAAAAAATAAATTGATTATAATATAAATACAATATAGATATATTTCAAAACCCTTATCTATTTGTGATCAAATATTAATTAAGAATAAAATTAACATTATTGATGACTAAAAGAAGTTTTAGCAAAAGTAATAGCTTGATACTTATTTACTTGCCTATTCTTTTAAAAAAGACAAGTTGCCATGAGATGGTCATGTAATTATTCATCTAATTATTTTAATACAATAATTCATCCAAAAATTAATTTGTGTATTATTACTATTGTCATGAGGCATGAATGTGACTCATTATAATGCATAATTGACATTAGTAAGCCACAAAAATAAAGAAAAATTAGCTAGTGAAAAGTGTATCAAAATCCTCAAATTTATTTTTTAATAAAAAATAAATTTTAAAAAAATCAAAAATTTTGATAATTTTTTTTTATTGTAATCCATGCATGTAATTCTTAGTGGATTTTTTAAATTTAAGAATAATACAAAAGAAATTCAAGTAAAAAAAAACTATACAAAAATAATATAACTAAAAATACAATAGTAAGAAGTATTGCAAGTACCAATCAAGTACTAAAAATAAATTAAAGTATAAAGTACAATTTCTAATAAAGAAATACTATATTTATAAAAAAATCATAAGAAAATAAATAAATTAAAAATAATTAATATAAATAAATTACTTGAAGAAATATTATGCAACATAGTGATGAAGGAGAAATGAAGTTAATCTATACTAAATAAAAACCAAATACCAAAAAGAATTAGAAGAAAGTATGTAACAAAAAGATCTAATGGTTAGATAAAATACTTACTTTGTTCCAATAGTAGAAGATAAGCAAAAACAACAAGGTATATTTAATGAAGCCAAAACCTTTTATAATAATAAAAAAAATAATAATAATAATAATTAATATAAAAAATATAATTAAAAAAACATATAAATGGATTAAAAGAGAATTGGCTTAAAAAATAGAATCAAACCAAGTATGTTCATGTAAAAAAAGAGGCAAGAAGGTCAAGGAATAATGACTCTATAAGGGAAATAAATCAAAGAAAATTGAATTAAATCGGAAAAATTTGGCATGCTTTGGAAATAAGGGTAGCAAGAAGAATCGTAACATGTTAGAGATTTTAGATTTAAGTGCCATTCTTAACACTCAAGTTTATTTAAAAAAAAAAAAAAAAAAAAAAAAAAAAAAATCTTCTTTACTAAAATAAATTATAATTTTGAATTTGTTTTTGATCCACTTGTCTAATAATAAAAAATAAAAATCCATGTTTTTTCAAAATGAACCTTCTTTTGAAAGAAAAATAAAAAATATAAACTCAAATTTAACATATATATATATATATATATATACTTAAAAATATCACCACTAAATCAACATAACAAAATTTGTAAAAAAAACCTTCATTGCATTCAGTTCATACAATAAAGTTCATGTTCAAATCTAACTCTGGTAAATCTATTTAAATAATAAGAAATATTAACTGATGAAAAATTAACATCATAACATAATTATCTATTCTAAAACAATCAATTCATTAAAATACTCTCATAATGAATTGTATTGACATTAAAAGATTGCTTTAGAACAACCTGCTCTCAATTGAATATCTTTTATTGAAGTAGATTATATCTCTATCAGATGCATCAACACTAATATATAAGATGATAAATGTGACATTACCAATCCGTCCAGCAACAAAAGAAAGACGAGATCTAAACCTTATTCACATCCATTAGCGTTCACTGAAATATGGAGGTCCACGGGTTTATCCGCCGAAAACAGGCCGTTCATCCAATTGCACAACTGCAATCGCACTTGTGGACATTCGAAGGGAGGAATGACATCACAAATCAAAGATATTCCTCGTCAAAATCCTCATACACCACAAAGTCCAGTCTAGTCCACGCCCATGCAATCCACTACCTTCTCCCCTTCGGAGATCGAGTGCTGCGAATTGCACGCACCAACCTCAAAAGTTCCCATTCCCCCTCGGCTCGGCCTTGGCTTCCATAGCTTACGTGCCTCTGCACCGATGACCAGGTGGGCACCACAAGTCCAACTGTTTTGTTTGACCAAGTTGACACCACGCCCATGCTACGGCACCACGCCCATGCTACGGCACCACGCCCATGCTACGGCACCACGCCCATGCTACGGCACCACGCCCATGCTACGGCACCACGCTGCAACTAGATTCGCGCGACATGCCCAGTTGACCCATGCATGCAATACTACACACCAGAAGCCTCGACGTCGGTGCCAGCTGAACCCAACATCTGCACTCACCATCGTCATGCCAGAAGTAATCTGTCCGGCGACCAACAGGACTGAACACCGCCAACTCTCCACGACTCAACTCCGCTTCCACACACAACACAACCTCAACATACATGCACCACATTCACATAGCCACCAACGCGGACCTTCATCGTGGCCCAAATCGTGAGTTTATTTCTGGGACTCATCACACTTGCACGCAATCCCCTCTTCTGCTGGGGTAGGCTTCACGCCCTCCTCCCGCCGCAGACCCAAAACACCATCGCGAACGTGAACAGGAAGAACCCACCTCCAGCAGCTCCGGTCCACACCACATTCTACTCTACTCTACTCTAGAGGGCAGCCCAGGCTTCAGCCAGCAGCTTGCCGTGCAGGTATCGAGGTGATACGCTCAACACAAGTCTTATTGGATCACACCACAACTAGATCTCTAGATATATCACAACTAGACCATCTCCGCATCTTCACCGCGCCCCACCTCCGCCGCGCTCTCTGCAGCACATCGGACCAATCTCCTCCTTCTGACGGTGATTACCGCAACAACTCGGCCGGATAGATGGTGCGTTGGAGCTGGGCCGAGATGTCGCCTAAACGCAGCACTTCATCTTGTCGTTCCACTTCATCCCCTTCATGCACTGCTCCACGCACTTGCCACCTCTGCATCGACGCCATCCAACCCCCAACCAATGTCAGCAACGTCACACCGTGTATCCCGCTGACGGCATCGCATGACAACGGAACCGATCGACATCATCAAAATCATGCATGCAATGCAAAGCTTCCCACGTGACATCCGCTTTCAGACGCTTGACAATCTACGTTGGTCACGAGCTCAACGTCGGATTGCAACCAAGCAGAATGGTCGTGGTGGCAGTAGTAGTAGCAGTCGCGACGGCGGTCGAGGGTCGCGCTTACCTGCACACGGTCTCTCCGCCGTGGTACTTGGGCTGCTTGCACTTGTTGCCGCACCAGCCGCAGTTGTTGACGTCCTTGCTCAGGTCCTTCTCGCACCCGTTCTTCCAGTCCTTGTCGCAGTTGCCCCACCCGAATTGGCAGCTGTACCCGCATTTGCCTTTGTTGCACTTGGCGGTGGCGTGGGGCGGGGCGTAGCACTTCACTTTGCAGCCGCCGCAGTTGTTGACGTCGCCGCCATGGACGTCGGCGTCGCACCCGTTTTTCCATGCATGAGCAGAACCTGCAACAGCTCAGGGTTGTCAACGTCAGTGGATACTCGAGCGATTGAGGCATGTGCGGGAAGCTCATGCTGAGCAATCGAAGTCATGAGCGAAAGCAATATAAATCAGCAAGTGGATCGTCAGGAATGGTAGAGTTCGAGAAAGCGCAATGATGCTGAGTCGGGGAATTGGAGGTCACCAATGAACATGACCACCAGGGCTGCCACAAGCACGAGCTGCTTGGAGAGCGCCATGTTGGCACAGCAGGGGATGAATTGGGGCCGCAGGGATGATGAGCGTGAGAACGGTGAGCAGGCTGGGAGATGGTAGCACAGACAACTGGGAAGCTGGATGCAGTGAGGAAGATGGACGAGAGGGGTGCTTAAGTAGGGATGAGTTGATGGGGTGAGAGTGAATTGTGGAGAGTTTACCACAGTAACTGTGAAGGCCGGTTGTGTCAGAGTATCCGGTCAATATCGACCCGGTTTACTCACCGCTTCAGCAACGAATCAGAGGTTCCGTTGACAAGGGTGGTGTGATCGTATAGTTTTGGGCTTGGATAAAGTGTTGTTTTCTTGTGGGTTTGGTGGACCATGTGGACTCGTTCTACGATTCTGACACTTGGACTGCCGTGAAACTGAGCTGCACGCTCTTTGATGGCGTCCCAGTCTTTCTTGGCTTTCATTGTCAACTTTTATGCCGTGGCATCGTCTCATCTTCATCGAAGTTCCGATTAGATTAGGTGCTAACGACCTGTGCAATCCTTAAACTAAGCAGCAGGTTCCAATGTCTGAAAGGCCTTTCAAATTTTGTATTCCATTATAATGTAGCACAAATGTTAAGGAGCTTTGATTTTCTGTATTAATTGTTCCATGGCATGTAATTTTATATTGCACGTATTTTCTTCTTGAGTCAATTGAAAACTTTCGTAATACTTTTGTAGTTCTGAATAAATATTTTGATTCTTACTAAATGTAAGGGAATATTAAGTTGACTCACCCAACATTTGAATCTGCCCACTTTATTCTCATGGTTTAATTTATATGACTATTTATGCCATCAATTTTTTATTTTATATGAACTTCATCTGCCATATTATTTGAATTTAAATATTTTATGATAGTAAATAAAATTTTAAAAATTAAAATTGTATATATACTTGATAAAAGGTCCTAATTACACATTTTTTAAATATTTTTTGTAGGTTTTAAAATTTTAATTTTTTTTAGTCCTTCATTTAATTACATTAGTTTTTAGTCTTTAAATTTTTGTATTTTACTAATTAACTCACTATACTATTGCTTATATCACTTGTATTTATCATTTTTTCTGTTGATATTTTATAATAATATTACAATCTTAATTCATTTCTGTTGATCTTTCTTGTAAATTCTTGTATAGTTCTCAAATGTTAACACATGGCTATCATGATCGGTTGGGTGATTTCTGATAATTCCCAGTTCACACAAAAAAAGGAACTAGAAGAATCCAAAAAATATAATTTAACAATAAAAGAAAATCTCCATAAATTCCATTTCGCACAATCATAGTTTTATATTATAAAAAGTCTCACATCACTGACTCACACAGTAATAATTCTCCATCAAATGTCAGAACATTTTAGAATATGTTTCACGATCTAGTTTCATGTTCAGAATGTGTTTCATGAAGTTCTTGAGATGTTGTCTCCTACTAGACCATGCTGCTTCGTCATTCAACAATCACTTGGAATTTGGTCTTGTAAACGTCGAGAACCATTTGTCTTGACGACACTTGTATCCGTTCGGCTCAAGATGAAAACAGTTTTGTGGCGGTCCTCAGTTGCATGACGAGCCTGTGGGTTAACTTCAAGGTTACATACGAAGTCGAAGCTTGTGCTATCACCGGAGCACTGATCAAGATTGCTGCATTAGAGCATTCACGAACTTATTGCTGGACTTAGATTGATCATCTACAACGCCTAATTCTACGAGTCAATTTCATGGTCCCTGTCGAAAACAGTTCCGTTTATCTTCAGGCTGGCGGTAAATGGGGGTCTCGAGAGTGGATTCTCCTCGCTGCCAACTTCCTATCGATTTTCAGGTTTCTGGTCTTCATGCATGAAAAAACGCTTAGACCTGTCTGGGGTTGAGAAAGTGACTTCTGCTCTTGCGTTGGAAGAATTGATGCATCAAAGATATTTGTTGACTGTTGATCGTAGACCTTTTCAGTTCTAGTCCACGCACAGAATGATTAAGAATTGCATTCGTCATCGGCTTCGTTGTCAGCGATGAGAGTACTTCTGGAGCAATGCTACCTTGGAAGTCTACAAGCAAAGTTCGGATAGAGTATATAGTTCAAAGTTTTCCTTCATTTCATGTCGACATTGAATATTTTATACCAGCTACAGCAGCTGACCCTAGCTGAACAAACTACTCATACATTCATTAGGAACAACTTTGGAAGCAATCAAACATTGAGGTCAGCGTAATGCATGATCCATCTGTCCCACTTGTAGACAAATTGGAACTACTTCCAAGACCTTTTATACAAAGAATCATGAAAAATAAATATAAATATGTGAATTTTCTACACTAATCATTCTTTATGCGCTACAACCAGAATTCCGCATCACCTTCATGCAAATAATGCGTACCATTTTTCTCAAAGAAAATCTCTCAATCTGGGTGCATAGTGTACTTTCCTCTCCTCAAGTCTCCTCCCTCGCTCAAGTTTGCTAGCCCTTCTACTCCTACTCTCAGCTGATCCAAATACTGTTCATTGTAGGTCGACATAATTCGGACAATATCATAGCGGCGACTATTCTGGCGTATTGACATGTACAACCGATCAATCCCAAACTGTTCACAACTATCCGCATGTCCTAAAATGTGACTGTATGTTAGGACCGAATTCGGGACTACGGAAACTTCTCACGGTTCATGACTGAGGCTCTCTGGCAGGGGAGATAGGCAATGTCAAAGCAAAGAACACATAAGGAAAAGACGGAATTATATTTTTCTGTTTCGATGAAAAGTAGCCACATACACGCAGCCGGTTCACTCAGCATTTCCATAGATGATAGAGATTTTTTGAATCTACGAAAATCGGGCATAACTGATGTTGCAATGAGCAACGTAGTTCAAGTTTTCCAACTTGAGAAGCGACAAAAACGATGGTGAATGGGCACTACTTAAGTGTCCACTAATTCACAGCCTTTCACATGTTTGCGAATGATGATGAGCTTGTTACATGACTTGGATCCTACTTTGAAAACTTACGTGGCATTCCAGAATGTTTGGGTTCACCAGAAAGGTCAAATAGTCAGAAAACGTTAAAACACTTGCATGGCTATAAACTACACTTCTTTGAGACTAATAAGCCTATTCTTCCAGATAAAGAAAAGAAAAACAAATCCTGGCGTCAAACCTTCCAAAAGGAAAGAAAAACAAACCATCAAAAACGGGTTGAATACTAATAAAATGAGGAGAGATGTAGTCAAGCACCGGACCCGCTATAAAGTTCGTGCTCAAAGCTACCAATCTCAACATAAAATATCAGATTTCTGTACAAAATCTGACTTAGAAAAAAAAAAAAAAAAAAAAAAAAAAAAACAACAACAACAACCGATTTCCTCGTTGAGCGAAGAAAAGTCATCGCCGCCTAAAATATTTTAACCCCATCCAGACCAAAACGCTGACACGCTACTAGGATATGACAAAATATGTTCAAATTCAACTCACCCAAGTTATCCAAATTCTAAACTATCAGCAAAGCCAGCAACGAACCCTTGGCGATGGATTGGGTAAACCGGGTCGATATTGACCGGATACTCTGACACAACCGGCCTTCACAGTTACTGTGGTAAACTCTCCACAATTCACTCTCACCCCATCAACTCATCCCTACTTAAGCACCCCTCTCGTCCATCTTCCTCACTGCATCCAGCTTCCCAGTTGTCTGTGCTACCATCTCCCAGCCTGCTCACCGTTCTCACGCTCATCATCCCTGCGGCCCCAATTCATCCCCTGCTGTGCCAACATGGCGCTCTCCAAGCAGCTCGTGCTTGTGGCAGCCCTGGTGGTCATGTTCATTGGTGACCTCCAATTCCCCGACTCAGCATCATTGCGCTTTCTCGAACTCTACCATTCCTGACGATCCACTTGCTGATTTATATTGCTTTCGCTCATGACTTCGATTGCTCAGCATGAGCTTCCCGCACATGCCTCAATCGCTCGAGTATCCACTGACGTTGACAACCCTGAGCTGTTGCAGGTTCTGCTCATGCATGGAAAAACGGGTGCGACGCCGACGTCCATGGCGGCGACGTCAACAACTGCGGCGGCTGCAAAGTGAAGTGCTACGCCCCGCCCCACGCCACCGCCAAGTGCAACAAAGGCAAATGCGGGTACAGCTGCCAATTCGGGTGGGGCAACTGCGACAAGGACTGGAAGAACGGGTGCGAGAAGGACCTGAGCAAGGACGTCAACAACTGCGGCTGGTGCGGCAACAAGTGCAAGCAGCCCAAGTACCACGGCGGAGAGACCGTGTGCAGGTAAGCGCGACCCTCGACCGCCGTCGCGACTGCTACTACTACTGCCACCACGACCATTCTGCTTGGTTGCAATCCGACGTTGAGCTCGTGACCAACGTAGATTGTCAAGCGTCTGAAAGCGGATGTCACGTGGGAAGCTTTGCATTGCATGCATGATTTTGATGATGTCGATCGGTTCCGTTGTCATGCGATGCCGTCAGCGGGATACACGGTGTGACGTTGCTGACATTGGTTGGGGGTTGGATGGCGTCGATGCAGAGGTGGCAAGTGCGTGGAGCAGTGCATGAAGGGGATGAAGTGGAACGACAAGATGAAGTGCTGCGTTTAGGCGACATCTCGGCCCAGCTCCAACGCACCATCTATCCGGCCGAGTTGTTGCGGTAATCACCGTCAGAAGGAGGAGATTGGTCCGATGTGCTGCAGAGAGCGCGGCGGAGGTGGGGCGCGGTGAAGATGCGGAGATGGTCTAGTTGTGATATATCTAGAGATCTAGTTGTGGTGTGATCCAATAAGACTTGTGTTGAGCGTATCACCTCGATACCTGCACGGCAAGCTGCTGGCTGAAGCCTGGGCTGCCCTCTAGAGTAGAGTAGAGTAGAATGTGGTGTGGACCGGAGCTGCTGGAGGTGGGTTCTTCCTGTTCACGTTCGCGATGGTGTTTTGGGTCTGCGGCGGGAGGAGGGCGTGAAGCCTACCCCAGCAGAAGAGGGGATTGCGTGCAAGTGTGATGAGTCCCAGAAATAAACTCACGATTTGGGCCACGATGAAGGTCCGCGTTGGTGGCTATGTGAATGTGGTGCATGTATGTTGAGGTTGTGTTGTGTGTGGAAGC